CCTTTATTCCAGGTCTCCTCTTCTATCCTTTATTCCAGCTCTCCTCTTCCATCCTTCATTCCATCTCTTCTCTTCCATCCTTCATTCCATCTCGCCTCTTCTATCCTTCATTCCATCTCTTCTCTTCCATCCTTTATTCCATCTCGCCTCTTCTATCCTTTATTCCAGCTCTCCTCTTCCATCCTTCATTCCATCTCTCCTATTCCATTCTTTATCCCGGCTCTTCTCTTCCAACCTTTATCCCGGCTCTTCTCTTCCAACCTTTATCCCGGCTCTTCTCTTCCAACCTTTATCCCGGCTCTTCTCTTCCAACCTTTATCCCAGCTCTCCTATTCCATTCTTTATCCCAGCTCTCCTATTCCATCCTTTATTCCAGCTCTCCTATTCCATCCTTTATTCCAGTTCTCCTATTCCATCCTTTATTCCAGTTCTCCTATTCCATCCTTTATCCCAGCTCTCCTATTCCATCCTTTATTCCAGCTCTCCTATTTCATCCTTTAGTCCAGCTCTCCTATTCCATCCTTTATTCCAGCTATCCTCTTTCTTCCTTTAGTCCAGCTCTCCTATTCCATCTTTTATTCCAGCACTCCTATTCCATCCTATATTCCAGCTCTCCTCTTTCTTCCTTTATTCCAGTTCTCTCCTCTTCCATCCTATATTCCAGCTCTCCTCTTCCATCCATTAGTCCAGTTCACTTCTCTTCCATCCTTTATTCCAGGTCAGGAGAGGTTTAAATGGTTTAACAAGCCCAGAGGTGGTCCGCAATTCGTGAGTTTGTTCGGTTCCCGAAATGAAAATGGAAAACACATGAATCAATTATTTTAAGGGTCAGTTACATGGCCCATAGTCTTTGGGCAGAAGGCTAGCCAGCAGGCTCCGTCAGGAGCTCGTGGCATAGGCATATTTGCCACACACAGTATTATAAATCTAATAGTATCCTAAATTCTTAAATCTAACACAAAGTATCCAAAATCCAGTACACAGTATCCTAAAACTAATACAGAGTACTCGAAATCTAACACACAGTATCCTAAAACTAATACAGAGTACGTGAAATCTAACACACAGTATCCTAAATCTGACACACAGTATCTTAAAACTAATATAGAGTACGTGAAATCTAACACACAGTATCTTAAATCTGAAACACAGTATCCTAAATCTAATTGTGTCCTAAATCCAACACACAGTATACTAAATCTGACACACAGTATCCTAAATCCAACACACAGTATACTAAATCTGACACACAGTATACTAAATCCAACACACAGTGTCCTAAATCCAACACACAGTATCCTAAAACTAATACAGAGTACTTGAAATATAACACACAGTATACTAAATCTGACACACAGTATCCTAAATCCAACACACAGTTTCCTAAAACTAATACAGAGTACTTGAAATCTAACACACAGTATCCTAAATCCAACACACAGTATCCTAAATCCAACACATTCTAAATCCAACACACAGTATCCTAAATCCAACACACAGAATCCTAAATCTAACACACAGTATTCTAAATCCAACACACAGAATCCTAAATCCAACACACAGAATCCTAAATCCAACACACAGTATCCTAAATCCAACACACAGTATTCTAAGTCCAACACACAGAATCCTAAATCCAACACACAGAATCCTAAATCCAACACACAGTATCCTAAATCCATGTGACGATACCTTACCTGTGTCCGCCGATCCCGCGCAGCACGGCGGTTTCCCCGGATGCTTCAAACGCGGCCACGCTCCCGGACCTTTTGGGGGCGTGGCTTTAAAGTGACACACACATTAGTATAAAAGGGCATCCCTGTCCACCCCTCAGTGCCCTATTGTGGTTCTTGATTGTTCCCCTAGTGCTCTTATACTTTGTTATCTGTTTTCCTGGTATTTTGACCCTTGGCTTCCGTTCTGACTATTCTCCTATTTGGCTCCCCGACTTTTGGCTTGGCTTTCTCGTTTATCCCGATTTCCGTACTCCCTTGATCCTTGGCGTTTTCTTGACTATTCTCTGACGTTAAGTCCGGCCACCCTAAGGTCCGGTATACGTCCCTTTCTGGGTTACCATCTGTGTGAAGGGGTCACTGTCGTGACATTACACTAGGGCCATGGACCCTGCAGGTGCTAATCCTCATGGCCCGGTTCCTGATAATTGGTTTGAGGAACTGGACCATCGTATGGACCAGTTTGCTGTAGCTGTTCAGACCTTGTTAGCTCGGACTGCACATCTACAGTCAGAGGACCATATCCCGGGTCATAGACCCCAGGAACCTCATTTGGAGATGGCGGCAGGGGGGGCTTCTGCCCATGCCACATCCCCTCTCCGTTATGGAGGTGATCCCAAGGGTTGTCGGGGTTTCCTCAATCAAATTAGTATTAACTTTGAACTTCATCCTAGGGCGTATCCTACCGATAGAGCAAAGATTGGTTATATTATAACGTTGTTAGTCGATAGAGCACTAGTTTGGGCCAATCCATTGTGGGAAAACGACAATCCCATAGTTTTCAACTACGCAGAGTTTGTCGCAGCCTTTAGGAGAACATTTGATCCCCCTGGAAGACGTACTAATGCTGCTAAAACCCTCTTACGAATGAGACAAGGGTCTCGTTCCCTGGTTGACTATGCCCTAGAATTCCACACTCATGCTGCAGAGGTCAGATGGAATGAGCAGGCCTTTGTAGATGTGTTCATGAATGGACTTTCTGACAAGCTTTTAGACGAGGTAGCCACCCGAGACCTCCCTAATGTGTTAGAGGAATTAATTACATATCTAGCACATATAGACAAACGTCTCTGACATAGACAAAACACCAGGGATAGACCTAGGCGTGTGCCGGAACGCCTGGCATTGACGTTTCCTTCGTCTGAGGAAACCACTGTCGCTCCAGCAGAACCCATGCAATTGGGAGCCACACGGTTGCCTGAACCTGAGAGACAATATAGACGAAGGGAGGGACTTTGTATGTATTGTGGGAAAAGAGGACATACCCGCCTACACTGCCCAAGCAGGCCGGAAAACTCCAACGCCTAAGCCCTCAAGGAGGACAGGCCTTGGGTGTAACGTGTATGTCCTCCTTCCAAAATAGGAAAGAACTCAGGCTTCTTCTACCGATAACCATAGAATGGGAGGGAAAGATAATAACTACCTCTGCGCTAATAGACTCTGGGGCAGCTGAGAACTTTATCGACCGTACTTTCGGCCAACATCACAACCTCCCATTTCGAGAAAGATCAACACCCTTGGCCGTTGAGGCCATAGATGGTAGATCATTATCCATTCCTTTTATTACTCAAGAATCCAAACCCTTAGTCTTGACTGTAGGTTCGTTGCATAAAGAAACCATAACCCTACAGCAAATACCTTCTCCCACCTTTCCGATTATACTTGGGTTTCCTTGGCTTACCAAGCATAATCCTCTAATTAACTGGGAGAGAAAAGAGATTGTGAAATGGGGTGACTCTTGTTTTAAGGAGTGTATCAGTCGAGTTAAACCTATAGGACTCCTCAACGTTCCTACCATGGAACCATTAACCACTGGAGTACCCAAACCATATCGGGATCTCAAGGCAGTCTTTGAACCAAGGGAAGCAAACAAATTACCACCCCATCGTTCTTATGACTGCGCTATTGATTTGTTACCTGGTACTATGTCCCCTAGGGGTACCGTGTATCCCCTCTCTGTGACAGAAAACAAAGTACTTGAAGAGTACATCACAGAGAATTTGAAGAAGGGTTTTATTACCAAGTCATCCTCCCCGGCTGGTGCAGGGTTTTTTTTTGTTTCCAAAAAGGAAGGTGACTTGAGACCCTGCATCGACTATCGGGGATTAAATAAAATAACAATACGAAATGCATATCCTATTCCGCTCATTACTGAGCTTTTTGATAGGTTAAAGGGAGCAACCGTATTCACTAAGCTAGATTTACGGGGAGTTTATAATCTAGTTCGAATTAAGAAGGGACATGAGTGGAAACCGGCTTTCAATACTCGCTATGGCCATTATCAATATAGGGTTATGCCCTTCGGCTTATGCAACGCCCCGGCAGTCTTTCAAGATTTCATAAACGATGTATTAAGGGACTGTCTACAAACGTTTGTTGTTGTTTATTTAGATGACATACTCATCTATTCTAAGAATATCAAGGAGCACCATTGACACGTTAGGATAGTTTTATCCAAATTATTGAAAAACGGACTCTACTGTAAATTAGAAAAATGTTTATTTGACGTGGAGAAGGTTAATTTCTTGGGTTACATAATTTCAGGTTCTGGCTTTCAAATGGAACCTAAAAAACTGGAAGCAATTTTAAATTGGCCCCTACCCATTGGACTTAAAGCCATCCAACGTTTCCTGGGGTTTGCTAATTACTATAGAAAGTTTATCAGAGGATTTTCCTCTATTACCGCTCCTATTACCGCTATGACAAATAAGAATAGAAGTCATACGGTGTGGAGTACCGAAGCTAAGGAAGCCTTTGAAAAATTGAAGCTAGCCTTTTCTTCAGCCCTGGTGTTAAGTCACCCTAATCCTTTGCGTCCTTTTTTGTTAGAAGTGGATGCTTCAGAGACAGGGATAGGGGCTGTACTCTCTCAGAGATCCTCGAATGATCAACCCCTGCATCCCTGTGGCTATTTCTCTAAAAAACTGACGGAAACAGAACAAAGATATGATATAGGAGATAGGGAATTGTTGGCTATCATTTCAGCACTCAAAGAATGGCGGCATCTATTAGAGGGGACATCTGAACCGATCATCATCCTCACTGATCACAAGAATCTTTCCTATTTTGGAGAAGCTAAAAGAATGTCTGACAGGCAGATTCGTTGGTCTTTGTTCCTAACACGTTTTAACTACATAGTGACATACAGACCCGGTTCTAAGAATACGAAAGCAGATGCCTTATCTCGACAACATGAGCACCTATCTCCTCCAGTAACCCATTTATCTTCCATAATCCCTACTTCACAAATAGTTGCCACAGTACATACTAAAATCTCTTCTAGCTTAATGGAAGTATTGTCCAAATGCCAAAACCACAACTCCATAACTATCCCTCAGGGGAAATTATACGTACCTTTAAATTATAGGAGACGAATCCTATCCTTGGTACACGACTCTAAGATTGCCGGTCATCCCGGTATCCATAAAACAGAAGCACTACTCGAAAAGCAATTCTGGTGGCCTTCTTACAAGAAGGACGTCTGAGAATATGTCCTAGCCTGTAACATTTGTTCCTCTAATAAATCTCCTAAAAGTTGCCCTTTAGGCCTCCTCATGCCGTTACCTATTCCCGAAATGCCATGGTCGAGTATCGCCATGGATTTCATAGTAGACCTGCCACCTTCAAAAAATCACCGGGTAATCCTAACTATCATCGATAGATTTTCCAAAATGACCCACCTAGTCCCTTTAATTAAACTTCCTTCATCCTCCGAACTGGCCACGATATTCATAAGGGAGGTGGTTCGTTTACACGGTATCCCTACAGATATAGTCTCTGACAGAAGCTCACAGTTTGTTTCCAGGTCTTGGAAAGCGTTTTGTGATCAGTTAGGTATCAAACTTAACCACTCCTCTTCATACCATCCCCAATCCAACGGAGTTACTGAGAGAATGAATCAATCACTAGAACAGTACATTCGCTGCTTCATCTCCGATCACCAAGATGATTGGATGGAGTTACTCCCTTGGGCTGAATTCGCCCACAATAACTGGGTTCACAAATCAACACAACATAGCCCCTTTTTTTTATAAATTATGGCTTTGACCCTAATACTCTTCCGAGTTCCTTTTCATCCTCGGCAGTGCCAAGTGTTGACTACACTGTAAGGAATATGAAAGAAACTTGGATAGGGGTCAAGCGTATCCTGACTCATAAGGCCGATGCTCAAAAAAGTAAAGCGGACGCTCGGCGCAAGAATGCTCCGAATTTTATAGTAGGGGATAGAGTGTGGTTAAGTACACGCAATATTAAATTACGAGTTCCCTCTATGAAATTTGCTCCGCGATTCATTGGTCCTTTTAGGATCCTCCAACGGATTAATCCAGTCTGTTATCGCCTGGATTTACCAGCTAATATGAGGATACCCAATTCCTTTCATGTTTCTCTTCTGAAACCTTTGATTTGTAATCGCTTTACTCGGAAACCCAGGACTCCTCTTTCTACACTCATTGATGGCCAAGATGAATACGAGGTTAAATCTATTTTAGACTCTCGTGTCTCTAGAGGTCGGCTCCAGTATCTGTTGGATTGGAAGGGATACGGTCCCGAGGAAAGGTCATGGGTGGATGCCTCGGACGTGCACGCGCCTCGCCTAGTCCGTTCCTTTGCTAGGCGTCGTTCTCGCGGGCCCTGTCCTGCCCGCCCTGGGGGCGGTCCTCGAGGGGGGGGTACTGTGACGATACCTTACCTGTGTCCACCGATCCCGCGCAGCACGGCGGTTTCCCCGGCTGCTTCCGGGGGGCGGCGCAGCCTGTCAGACGCTGCCCGCTCGCATGCGAAACCGCATGCGCGCCGACGTCATAATAATTTTGCCGCGAAAATTTGACCCTTGGCTTCCGTTCTGACTATTCTCCTATCTGGCTCCCCGACTTTTGGCTTGGCTTTCTCGTTTATCTCGATTTCCGTACTCCCTTGATCCTTGGCGTTTTCTTGACTATTCTCTGACGTTAAGTCCGGCCACCCTAAGGTCCGGTATACGTCCCTTTCTGGGTTACCATCTGTGTGAAGGGGTCACTGTCGTGACAATCCAACACACAGTATCCTGAATCTAACACACAGTATTCTTAGTCCAACACACAGTATTCAAAAACTAATACAGAGTACTCGAAATCTAACACACAGTATCCGAAATCTAACACACAGTATCCGAAATCCAACACACAGTATCCGAAATCCAACACACAGTATCCGAAATCTAACACACAGTATCCTAAATCTAACACACAGTATCCTAAATCTAACACACAGTATTCTAAATCTAACACACAGTATCTGAAACACAGTATCTGAAATCTGACACACAGTATCTAAAATCTGACACACAGTATCTGAAATCTGACACACAGTATTCTGAATCTAACACACAGTATCCTAAAACTAATACAGAGTACTTGAAATCTAACACACAGTATTCTAAATCTAACACACAGAATCCTAAATCTAACACACAGTATCCTGAATCTAACACACAGTATCCGAAATCTAACACACAGTATCCGAAATCTAACACACAGTATCTGAAATCTAACACACAGTATCTGAAATCTAACACACAATATCTGAAATCTGACACACAGTATCCTAAATCTAACACACAGTATCCTAAATCTAACACACAGTATCCTGAATCTAACACACAGTATTCTAAGTCCAACACACAGTATTCAAAAAATAATACAGAGTACTCGAAATCTAACACACAGTATCTGAAATCTAACACACAGTATCTGAAATCTAACACACAGTATCTGAAATCTGACACACAGTATTCTAAATCCAACACTCAGTATTCTAAAACTAATACAGAGTACTCGAAATCTAACACACAGTATCCAAAATCTAACACACAGTATCCTATATCTGACACACAGTATCCTAAATCCAACACACACTATCCTAAATCTAACACACAGTATCCTGAAACTAATACATAGTACGTGAAATCTGACACACAGTATCCTAAATCTGAAACACAGTATCCTAAATCTAAGAGTGTCCTAAATAAAACACACAGTATACTAAATCTGACACACAGTATCCTAAATCCAACACACAGTATCCTAAATCCAACACACAGTGTCCTAAATCCAACACACAGTGTCCTAAATCCAACACACAGTATCCTAAAACTAATACAGAGTACTCGAAATCCAACACACAGTATCCGAAATCCAACACACAGTATCCGAAATCTGACACACAATATCTGAAATCTGACACACAGTATCCTAAATCTGAAACACAGTATCCTAAATCTAAGACACAGTATCCTAAATCTAAGAGTGTCCTAAATCCAATACACAGTATACTAAATCTGACACACAGTATCCTAAATCCAACACACAGTGACCTAAATCCAACACACAGTATCCTAAAACTAATACAGAGTAATTGAAATCTAACACACAGTATCCTAAATCTGACACACAGTATTCTAAATCCAACACACAGTATCCTAAATCCAACACAGAGAATCCTAAATCTTACTGACAGTATCCTAAATCCAACACACAGAATCCTAAATCTAACAGACAGTATCCTAAATCCAACACACAGTATCCTAAATCTAACACACAGTATTCTAAGTCCAACACACAGTATTCAAAAACTAATACAGAGTACTCGAAATCTAACACACAGTATCCGAAATCTAACACACAGTATCCGAAATCTAACACACAGTATCCGAAATCTGACACACAGTATCTGAAATCTAACACACAGTATCCGAAATCTGACACACAGTATCCGAAATCTGACACACAGTATCTGAAATCTAACACACAGTATCTGAAATCTGACACACAGTATCCTAAATCTGAAACACAGTATCCTAAATCTAAGAGTGTCCTAAATCCAACACACAGTATACTAAATCTGACACACAGTATCCTAAATCCAACACACAGTGTCCTAAATCCAACACACAGTATCCTAAAACTAATACAGAGTACTTGAAATCTAACACACAGTATCCTAAATCTGACACACAGTATTCTAAATCCAACACACAGTATCCTAAATCCAACACACAGAATCCTAAATCTTACCGACAGTATCCTAAATCCAACACACAGAATCCTAAATCTAACAGACAGTATCCTAAATCCAACACACAGTATCCTAAATCTAACACACAGTATCCTGAATCTAACACTCAGTATTCTAAGTCCAACACACAGTATTCAAAAACTAATACAGAGTACTCGAAATCTAACACACAGTATCCGAAATCTAACACACAGTATCCGAAATCCAACACACAGTATCCGAAATCCAACACACAGTATCCGAAATCCAACACACAGTATCCGAAATCCAACACACAGTATCCGAAATCTGACACACAGTATCCGAAATCTGACACACAGTATCCGAAATCTGACACACAGTATCCGAAATCTAACACACAGTATCCGAAATCTAACACACAGTATCTGAAATCTAATACACAGTATATGAAATCTGACACACAGTATCTGAAATCTGACACACAGTATCTGAAATCTGACACAGAGTATCCTAAATCTAACACACAGTATCCTAAATCTAACACACAGTATTCTAAATCTAACACACAGTATCTGAAATCTGACACACAGTATTCTAAGTCCAACACACAGTATCTGAAATCTGACACAGAGTATCCTAAATCAGTGGCGTACACATGATCCATGGGGCCCCGGTGCGAAAATTGATCCGTGGGCCCCCCCGCGCTTACTCGGCGCGGGTCGGGGCCGCAACACATGGCGGCGGGCACCTGGTCGCAGGGGTTGCAGGGCTGCGACCCCGCGACCGCGGTATGCACACACACTTAAAGGACCACTACAGACACCCTGATCACATCGGCTCAATGAAGTGGTCTGGGTGCCAGGTCCCGCTAGTTTTAACCCTGCAGCTGAAAACATAGCCGTTTCAGAGAAACGGCTATGTTTCACTGAGGGTTAATCCAGCCTCTGGTGGCTGTCTCACTGACAGCTGCTAGAGGAGCTTCCACGATTCTCACTGTGAAAATCACAGTGAGAAGACACTTACGTCCATAGGAAAGCATTGAGTAATGCTTTCCTATGGGCGGTTCAAATGCGCGTGCGCCTCTTGCCGCGCATGTGCATTCGGAGCTGAGAGGCAGAGGGATCGCCTGCGCCAAGGGAGTCCGACGCTGGAGAAAGGTAAATGCTAAAGACATACACACACACACACTCTCACGAACGGACGCATACACACTAGCTAACAGACACACACATTTACTGACAGAGACACACTCAGCGACAGACATACATACACACTCACTTACAAAACATACACTTTCACTGACAAACACACACTCACTAACAGACATCAAACACACTCAGTAACAGACACACACAGTAACACACTCACTAGCAGACACACACCCAATAACAGACACACTCACTGACACACACACTAACACAAACACTAAAACACACACACATACACTAACACACACACATAC